TATTAATTCCGTGCATCGCACGGGTGCAAATACTAGTTATATTAAATAACAATTGTAGAGCTAGTACAACGGGTTTGCAATGCTATTACAAGTGTACTTTAGGACAAGAATCTAGAATGTGTCTTAATGAGACAAGAATGAGGCTTTCTATACACAGAAAATACCCTAACTGACCCCCTAATACGGCGGGTTGGCTGCATCACCGTGTTGACCGCGTCCAGGTCCGAGCCCCGGATCTTCCCCTTGACTGGGCCGAGCTCACTTTGGTCGAGCTCGCCTTAGGCCGAGCACGGGGCTTCACCTCAGGGCCCCGGGTCCGCTCCATACTTTCTCACGCCGCTTTCCCATGTCAGTTTGCTCCCATTATAATATATCTATCATGAGTCTCCCACTCTCTTCATTGCGAGAAGTCGACAACGAAAGAGAGTACATATCCCGAACCAACTTCAGTGCACAAATGTGCCGAGCCCACATTGGCCGACCACGCCCAAGCACAAATCTATTGACCTCATCGACGTAGAATTCCACCGCGAATAAAACTCTCTTCTCGCAAAATCTTTTTCAGATATGGCAGAATCCTAATAAAAGTGCAATTCTTCCTGATAAAAGTCTCGGAAATCTTCACCCCATCACACCCATCACTTTCCATCAATTCCCATAAACTTTTCCCACTCCCAACATCCTTTTTTTAAATTTCAAAATTGGTCAAACACTTTTCCCGCTCTTTCTTCCCCCATTCTTCCCTTCTCCCCTCTTTTTAACCCCATTCCCCCCCCCCCCCTCCCATTCGGCCACAAAACTCCAAAAATCACAAAAAATCCTCTCAAGATCTCCCAAGGTCCCAAGCTCTCCCCCGGGTTTCTAAGCCAAGTCTCGAGCCCGAGTCCGGTTAGTTTTGTTTTTGTTGCTTCTCGTTCTCGGTGGAGAGGCCTACCTCTACCACCTTCCTTGCCACTTTGTCTTCTTTTCATGTCCATTAGCTTTGATCTTAGTGTTTTGGAGTCCATTAGTGATAGTGAGATGGCTATGGACGGTTCCTCCCCCTCGGGCGAGTTCCCATATCCTCGGAACGAGATTTTAAAATAATTAAATATATAGCATGTGTATGTGTCTTGTGTTGTGAGTTTTTGTGTCTTGTATTATGAAATTTTGTGCCTGTAATAGTTTATTAGCTGTGTAGAAACATAAAAAACGGAAAAACTGAGAATCCATTAAAATTTAAAGATCAAAACGACGTTGTTTTAATCTAGGATCTACAATGCTATGTGAACTCTGGTACACGATATAAATTTCCCTAAAATGATTTAAAAAGTAAATTTTTTTCTTCAATTTCATTAGTTTAGAGTAATTATATATATCAACTTATGTATTTAGTTTATTATAATAAGTTACAAGTTAAAAGTTATTTATTTACATATTTTTATTATAAATATTGTTAAAATATTTATAAAGGAAAATTGCATCTTTTGTCCCTGAATTATACCTAAGTTTCAATTCAGTCACTCAGTTATGACCGTATCCATTTTTTACTGCTCAGTTATGAGCGAAGTGACGAGTTTGGTCCGTGACATTAGGTTTCTGCCTCAACTTGACGGAAAACTCAAAAACACCATATTATTGGAGGGGTAAGTAAGAAATTCACATTTTACTTTCCTTATATTGAAATCAATTTCACAACATTATTTTCTACTTCCCAGCCTTCCCGTTTGACTTGTTAGGAACTTGAGTCTCGTATAAGGAACTTAAGACTCAGTATAAACAAGGGTTCGCCGCTTGGTCACCGTTTTCAGACGTGTGAAACAAACTATCCTAAATGTTTATAATTTCCCTTACTAAGCAATAAGAGTAATCAAATAAAACTTTTGAGATACAAGAAGATGTCAAATTTCTCATATTGCTTTTATGAGAAATTTCTCATAACTTGATATTTTTAGTATGTAAAAATTCTTTCATGAACTCTGCAGTAGCTTAGTCAAGAATCATATGTCATAGCAACATATGAAAATTCTATTATATATATCCATCATCAATTGCCAAAGGCCTTATGGTTGAGTGGCATAGCTGTGGCTTCTCAAATGAGATGAGATGTCTCAAGTTCGAACCTTAGTGTGGGGTATTCTTTGTAGTGCATTTCATACGTACAATTGGAGATAGTGTTCTTTGTACAGGACCCATAATTATGTGAAAAGTGGTTTTAATATAAAAAGGAGAGAAAGATATGGATTTCCTATTTTACCCCTCCAATAATAGAGGGTTTTTGAATTTTCAATCGGATTTAGACGGAAACCTATGTACCTAACGTTGCGGACCAAACGTGTCACTTCGCTCATAACTGAAGGGTAAAAAAGGATACAATCACAATAGAGGGACTAAGTAGTACGTCAATATGGGTATAACTCAAAGACCAAATATGACATTTTCCCTATTTATAACTATTATAGATTTTAATTTATAACTTTATTTTAATATAAGTAATAATTAGTATCATAATTAAAACAATTAATATTTTACAATAAATAACTTTGTAATAGATTTATTATCATTTTTTAGAAATGAACCAAATAAAAAAAATACAATTTTTTGACTTTAAGTTAAATATTTTTTAAAAAAAAAACAGATTGTTTTCTGACATTTTGCCAAACATTAAATAATGAAAACAAAAATTAAAAAATGACTTATTTTCTAGAAATCGTTTTCTAAAAAATATTTTATAGATTTTTAAACAGACCTTAATAATGAGATACGGAGTATTAAAAAAAGACAAGCAAATATAATAATTGAAATCAAACCGATAATAAAATATCAAGTGACTTGTGGTTCATTGGTATCAAATTGCTCCCATATGTGGGAGGTTTAGGTTTCTTCGAGCCTTTTTATAGGCGTAGTTTGTATGGGTATTCCATTTCCTTTGTAATAAAAAACTGATAGTAAAATAAAAAAAAAAAAAAGTGCTCAACCAAATGTTATCTTGTAATGATTTTAATTAGCATTTTTTCAAGAATAAAAATTCCTCGCCCCCCAAGGAGGTAAAATCACGCTTAACATGACAGAAACTCAACGATGATGCATATTCAATATTTTATCAAAAGTCTTCAGTTAAGAATTATCATCTCTCCCGTCTCCACTTTTTTTTTTTTTTTTTTTGAATGTTCTCCCGTCTCCACTTAAATTATCTACAAATGACATTCTAAAAAAAAGTGTTATTTCTTCCTTCTGATGTTTTTCTAACAATATATTTTTTATATTTATTAGTGTATATGAATTGATCAATTCTACTCTGGACTAAAAATTAATTACGGAGTACTTAATATAATTAAATATAAAAATTAATTGCAATAAGGGCCAAATTGACCGCTGAATATAATCTGAAAATGTAATTAGGTCACTGAATAAAAAAAAAATTAAGTGTAATTAAGCCACTAAACACCCCAAATGTATACAACTTCACTTGATAACATGTTACCATCCATTTCATTAGGTTGTCTGCTTACGTGGAAGTGAGTTGGCATTTTAAATAATTTTTAATAATAAACTTTAAAAATAAAAATACAAAATTAATAAAAATAAATAAAAAATGTCGGGTGGCCGCCGGCCACCCCCTTCCCCCTCCTCCTTTGTCTCCGGCAGAGACGAAGGAGGGGGAAGGGGGTCGCGTGAGACGAAGGACTTGTATCACGCCACCCCTTCCCCCCTTCCCTTTTCTCCGTCGGTGACAAAGGACATGTCTTCATCTTTGGTCGGAGACGTAGACAGGCTCTTCGTTTCCGGTTGGAGACAAAGAGCATCTCTTAAGTTATGTTCAGTGGCCTAATTGCACTTTCAAATTACGTTCAGTGATCAATTTGGACCTTATTCCAAACTAATTAAATAATATCATATTAAAAAGTAAATATTAGAAGGTAAATTTAAAACTAAAATGTAACAGAACTTATCACTAGAATGTGATTTTGGAATAAAAACACCAATTCCACCAAATATGTATATTCTCTCAGATTCTTGTCTGACCAGGGTATGGGACGCGCTTGAGGTTGGGAATTCAACTTTTTGAAAAGAATCCTTTTTAGTTTGAATAATACTGCATTATTTTGTAACTCTTTTACATTTTTCTTTCAATATAATCTTCTTGACGTTATTGGATTTTTATAATTAATTATTAACCAATTTTTTTTTTTAAAACTTATGGTAAGATCAGTGATTTCATAAATATCTAATTAATTATAATATCACGTTATAAAGAAAAGATCAAATAAATCGAATAAGAAATACAAGATGAAAAAATAGCAGTATTCTTTTAGTTTTTATAGCATTTTTTTTTTGTTTGTTGGTATTAGTTGTTTTTTTATTTTTTTGACAAGCGACAACCTTGAAAAGGAGAGGAACTCGTGGGTAGACTATGGGATCCGCTGACCACTTTCTACCACGGTATGCTTTTTAACTTTATTTGTTAATTTAAAAATAATAATAATATTTTAGTTGTTGTTTTACCGTGTTTTTTTTAATGTTACTGACTCTATTATATTGTTGTATCTCTTCAAATATGACCTTTCACATGAAAGAGATCACTATCACTACATGTTATCTGAACACAAGGTGTTGTTTTATCGTGTTAAAAAATAATTTTAAATTAAAAAATTTGATTTATATATATACTCCTTTGGACTCATTTTATTTGTCATATTTATTGGTCAAATCAACTATTTCTTTTTTGTTTATTTTTTTTAATATTTTTTGATTATTTTTAAATTTAAAATTTTGTATTTAATAATATTTTTAGTGTAGTTTCTAAATATATATATATATATATATATATATATATATATATATATTGTATATTAATATTTAATATTAAAAAAATTAGATTAAAATAATTTTAATCAAACCTTAACCCAATCAGACATGTAAAACGGGACAAAATGAATATATTTTTCTACAACAATAAAAATAATAATCTGACTACTACAGACAGGCATTTTTGTACTATAGCTATGCGCATGAGTGGCAGCTTTTCCTCGGATGTTCAGAAGAACCTGTAGTCCAGTGTGAACACAACAAGGATACTCGGCCTTATTCTTCTTTCATTGTCGCTTCACTCCCAAATTGCCAAATTGGAGCACAAAGGTTCGGCCTTTTTCAATGTCTGCTTAGCGGAACTACCAATCTTCCATAGATAACCGTCAAAATGGCACCCAAGATTCTGCTTTTGCTTCTTGCCCTCTCCATTTCAGTACACCCAAATGCAAGTTTCGAGCCACCAAATCAGAAACACCAAAGTTCAGGCAAGACCCTTTTTCCCAAATTGCTTCCGCCGGCTGATAGAGCCTCAAAAGGGAGCATAAAGCTGGTTCAATCTTTGCAGGGGTCAAGAGTTGTTCTGAGAGGAAATGATCAAATTTGGAGTGCGGAAAAGACCTTTGCGTTGGGATTTTTCGGTGTTAATGGTGGACGCAAATGGTATTTAGGCATTTGGTATGCTTCAGTTCCCACGCCTACCTATGTCTGGGTGGCAAATAGGGAGACCCCCATCAAGAATCTTTCACTGGCCAGTCTTGAAATTACCCAAAATGGGAAGCTAGCTGTGATAGAAAATGGTGATTCAAGAACCCTTGTTTGGGGAACTAGTAATCAGGGGAAAGGCAGTGAAGTTAAGCTCTTGGAGCAAGGAAATTTGGTGTTTTTGGATGGTGAAAGGAAGGTGGTTTGGCAAAGCTTCGATTCCCCAACTGACACTTTGCTCCCAGGCTTGAATTTGACTGCTCAGAGGTGGTTAAGTTCTTGGAAGAGCTCTATAGACCCATCCCCAGGTATCTTCTCTCTCAGGCTCCTCCCACCTGAGTATTCTGAGCTTGCTCTTGTTTATAATGATAGTTATACTTATTGGTCTTCTGGTAATTGGACTGGAAATGCATTTAGTGGAGTGCCTGAGATGACCATTCATTATATCTACAAATTTTATTTTGCCCAACCCTTTACCCCAATGGCATCTTTTGGCTATTCTGAGGTATCATTGGAGGCGGGCGGCCAACCGCCTTTAACCCGGTTTCGTTTAGACTTCACTGGCCAGCTTTGGCAGTACACTTGGGCTTCCCAGACTCAGAATTGGAACTCATTCTGGTCACAGCCAGATAATCAGTGCAGGGTTTATGGCCTCTGTGGGGACTTGGGGTTTTGCAATACTAGGTCTTTCTCGAGTCCATGTCGGTGTTTGGTGGGGTTTAGACCCGGGGATAATGTTTCGTGGAACGCAGGGGACTTTTCTGATGGTTGTCGCCCCGAGAACAACTATCGTTGTGGTGAAAATGAAGGGTTTAAGGATGTTGGAATGCTAAGCTATGACGGAGCAAAGACAGTGTCGTTTAAGGGAAGTAGGAGCATGTGTAAAAAGGAATGTTTGGGTAATTGTTCTTGTATTGGCTTCCACCACAATGAAAGGACCAATTTGTGTAGAAATTTGTACGGTTCGTTGCTGAATCTCAGAAACATTACTTCTGATATGGAGGATAGGCTGTATTTAAGAGCGAATGGGGAAGGCATTAGCAAGAACCATAGGAAAAAGAAGTTAGTAGTGATTGGAGCGAGTTGTGTGCTTGTAATCTTGTTGCTAGGAGGTTTGGTTTTTCTGTTCTCAAGGAGAAAGGGTAGGAGGACAGAAGAAGAAGAAGAAGAGGGATCTGTATTTCCCGTGATGAATTTGAAGGTTTTTTCATATAAAGAGCTTCATATTGCAACGAAGGGATTCTCTGAGAAGCTCGGGCACGGTGGATATGGTTCTGTGTTTCGAGGGGAGCTATCAGATTCTTCAGTTGTGGCTGTGAAGAGACTAGATAGGCCTGGCGGGGGCGAAAAGGAGTTTCGAGCGGAGGTCTGCACTATTGGATACATTCAACATGTCAATCTGGTTCGATTGAGGGGATTTTGCTCTGAAAATTCTCACAGGCTTTTGGTTTATGATTACATGCCAAATGGTTCTCTTAGTGTGTATTTAAGGAAAGGCGGGCAGAATCTAAGTTGGGATGCGAGGTTTCGAGTTGCAGTTGGAGTGGCTAGAGGAATTGCTTATTTGCACGAGGGGTGTCAGAATTGTATTCTACATTGTGACATTAAGCCTGAGAATATTCTCCTGGATGAAGATTTATCAGCAAAGGTTTCGGATTTCGGGCTAGCAAAGCTCCTGGGTAGGGACTTCAGTAGAGTCTTGGCCACCATGAGGGGTACATGGGGGTATGTTGCACCCGAGTGGATCTCCGGTTTGGCAATCACCACGAAAGCGGATGTCTACAGCTATGGAATGACACTATTTGAGTTAATTGGCGGGCGGCGAAATGTAGAGGGTACACCATCCCTAGACCGAGGAGATAATGGAGAGGGCGGAGCGGAGGAGAAATGGTTCTTTCCACCATGGGCTGCACGCAAGATACTCGAGGGAAACGTCTCAGCAGTGATCGACGAGAGGCTTCAAGGCACGTATGACGTGGGGGAGGCCGAGCGTGTGGGGCTGGTGGCGGTGTGGTGCATTCAGGACGAGGAATCGACGAGGCCCGCCATGGGAATGGTGGTGAAAATGCTGGAAGGAGTGGTGGAGATAGGCGTGCCACCGCCGCCAAGGCGGCTTCAAGCATTGGTGCACGGTGAGGGAATTGAGTCTGGGGTCATGGGGATGGTTTCAATAGATTCCAGGGATTCCTTGTCTTTTCCATGAGTAGTTGAGTTGGTATGAAAGAAGAAGCATGGGGGGCTTGAGGTTCTCTTTTCTAACTAGTTCCAGCTAGCTACCATGATGTAAATAAATATTTCTATCCTTTACTTGATATCATTTCTTGAAAAACAGTGGAAGATATATGTCATGTTGAAGCCAAAAGTATTTAGTAGTCAAGAAATGCATTGGCAATTCCATTTCACATTTCTGCAATTTGTGCGTGTGGTCCTCGGCAAATTATGCTGTGGAACCGTAAGGTGGACACGGTTCCAGAATTATTCATAATTATGAATATATAGTTCTATAATTATGAACATAGAGTTGTGAACATAATTATGAACATATAGTTCTGTAATTATGAATAATTGAATATAGAGATATTGAGATTTAATAATTGTGAATATGAAGTTCAAACCATAACTTTATAATTATGTATAGTTCAATAATTATGAATATAGAGTTCTGTAATTATGAATAGAGTTCAATAATTATATTGAATATGAAGTTAAAAAATTATGAATATATAGCTTTATAATTATGAACATATAATTCAGTAATTATAAACATAGAACCGTGTCAGCTTACAAGGTGGACACGATTCCATAGTCCATAGTATAACAATTGGTTATCCTCAACATGGCTTGTATAGTGAGGTGATGTGAAACAACTCAAATTCCAAGCCCATATACTTGGCATACCGTAAATTATGCTCTGGAAACGTGTTCACCATTCATGGTGAACACGGGTCCAAACGGCGCCGTTTTTACGTTTTATATATATATATATATATATATATATATATATATATATATATATATATATATATATCGGGGATGTGGTGTTAACGGCGCGCGTTTGGTCAGATTATGAATTTTCTGTTATGAGATTATGAATGTATTGTAAATTCATAATCTCATAACAGAAAATTCATAATCGCATAAAAGAAAAACATTTATTAAATTATGAATTTTCTGTTATGAGATTATGAATTTACTGTAAATTCATAATCTCATAACAGAAAATTCATAATCTTATAACAGAAAATTCATAATCTCAAAACAGAAAATTCATAATCTCATAACAGAAAATTCATAATCTCATAACAGAAAATTCATAATTTATGAATGTTGAAGAAGCTTGCACTACAGAGGAACAGTCATGGTTTCGGACGGGAATGTGTAGGCACGGGTCCAAAGTAAATGTGCAGGCATGGATTCATAATTTATGAATTTCCGAAATCATTGCTCACCTCAAATTAAAGTGAAACCGCAAAATGTGAAAATGAAGAAGAAAAGTCACGCGATTAATTAAGAAGAAAAAAAAGAAAAGAAAAAGATAACGGTGCACTAACACCGTTGGGACCGTGTTCACCATGGATGGTGAACAAGGTTCCATGGCATAACGATTGCTTGGCATACAATCATTATAGGCAATTTATATCGTGCACCAGGGCGCACATTGCATTGTGCGCCCTGATACAAAACGATGTCGTTTTAGATTTTTTTTTTTAAATTTCGGTACCCTGTGTTGGCGGTTAATTTTCTTTAAAAAAATCTCATGTTCAAAAATGTACATAATTTTATAGAGTTTTTTCCCAAAATGGTCCCTCGACTATTGCTCATTCTCAATTTTGCATTTCAACTTTTAATTGCACCCAATGTGGTCCCTTGACTTTTAAAAACTCCCCCAAATTGGTCCTCCGTTAGAAATTCCGTATATTGAGTGTTAAAATGAAGGGCATTTTCGTCCATTTACCTATTATATGCCTAATATACTCTGAAAAATAGTCAAGGGACCATTTTGGGAATAGTCGAGGGGTCATTTTGAGAAAAACTCATTTATTTATTTCATTTTTGTTTATTTCCATTTTTGTAAGACTATTAAATTAGAGTTTCTATACATTTTTTTTTTACAAATATAAACAGTTAAAATCCACAATTAAAACTCAAAATTTTAAACTTTCTATACAAATTTGTTCCTTCGGTCTAAACATACAAACTTTTCATCTAATCCTATCAAGTTTTACAATAAGTTCTGTAAATTTCAAAAATATAATACTCATATACTTTTTATGTTCACACACACACTAACACTTCAATAGACAATCAATCACTATGTATCATATTAAATATTATTTATACCATTGAAAATAACATTACTATTTTTATCAGTTTAGACACCCAAAATGTACTCTTCACTTCTCGGTCACTATGCCTTTTGAAAATAAAATTATTATTTTTACAATCAATCGCTATGCTCTGGCACTTCTTCGAACTGAGAAGTACGCGTCACTTCTCGATCAATGACAAAATCTAGAAAATATTTTTGGAAAGTTGGCTAAACTTAGCCTGTAAGGCCATTAGTTTCATTCCAAAGTTAGTACAAACCATAGCTACCATTTCCAAATGGCTATCTACCCAGAAGTACATCATGCTAAAGAGAGTCTAGAACTATGGCTATCAATTTTATGTCTTAAAGGACAAGTAAAATAAACCAAATGCAAAAATAATTAGCACAAAACAAACAATTCTAAACCTAAAGTCTCATCATTTACCAATATTACAAATTCTTGTCATTTTGAAGTTTGTTTGTATTTTATATATGAATGTTAATAAACTTAAATTTGAAATTTAAACTTGTTTATCAAAATACGTAAAAAAAAAATAATTTTATTTTAACTATAAAAATAATATTTAATGTAATACATAGTGATTGATTGTCTTTTGAAGTTTTAATATGATTATATATATATATATATATATATATATATATATATATATATATATATATATATATATATATATATATATATATATATGAGTATTTATGAATGTTATGAAATTTATTGTAAAACTTGATAGGGATAGGGGAAAAATTTGTACGTATAGACAAAAGGAAAAAAATTGTAGAGAACGTTTAAAATTTTGAGATTTGATTGTGGATTTTAACTATTTATCTTTGTAATAAAAAAAATGTATAGAAATTCTAATTTGATAGTGTTAAAAAATGGAAATAAATAAATGAGTTTTTCCCAAAATGATCTCTCGACTATTTTTCAGTGTATATTAGACATATAATAGGTAAATGGACGAAAATGCCCTTCATTTTAACACTCAATAGATGGAATTTCTAACGGAGGACCAATTTGGGGGAGTTTTTAAAAGTCAAGGGATCACATTGAGTGCAATTAAAAGTCGAAATGTAAAATTGAGAATAAGCGATAGTCGAGGGACCATTTTGGGAAAAAACTAGAATACACATAATTGTATACATGAATGTACATAATTGTATAACAACATATCATGGTTGCAGTAGGCGATGGGCGCTAGTCGGGCGCCCGGGCAGCGCCTAGCGCCTAAGCGGCCTAGTCGGCGCCTAGGCGGCGCTAGGCGGTCGCGAAAAAAACAGTAGTAGACTTGCAATTTGACAATTTTAATGAGGCTGTTTTCAACATTCAATCAAATAACACATCCAAATAAATGACATAATGACAATTCATAAGTCATAACATCAAAAGAATATTAAAAAAAAAAACTCAAATGAAATACCCAAATACTTCAATCATCCAAAGATTGAAAGTATCAAACTAGTCTACGAGTGTATATATGTCATATTATATGTATATGTCATATAAATGGACAAAATTAGCAAGGTCGAGTCGGTCAGGTTAACTCGACTAACTCGACAGAAATTGACGAGTTAACTCGGCGTAATCGGACGAGTTAGGCGCTAGGCGGGCGCCTAGGCGGCCGGTCTCCTAGGCGGGAGCCTAGGGCGGAAATCGCCACGGCCTATGGGCGCCTAGCGCCTAGGCGCCGATTGTATAAACTTTTAACATAATACACATCAACTCTTAACATAATACACATAAATTTCTTGTTTCGGATGTACATAATTGTATAAAAAAATGTACATAGTTGTATAAAAAATGTACATAATTGTATAAACAAATACACATAATTGTATAAACAAATACACGAAATCACGTTAACTCCCTACATAACTTACCAAAATGACGTCGTTTTGGTAGGCGCGAGGCGCACAGTGCTATGTGCGCCGTGGTGCAGGGTATAACGATTGATCTTTATACTAGGGTTGGGCATTTCGGGATTCGGTTCAGTTTTTTTGGATTTTGATTTCGGTTTTGATTTTTCAGTTTTAAAAAAATTAAACCATTCGGTTTAACATTAGAGTTCGGTTCGGTTTAAGATTCTCAAATTTCAACATTTCCTAATTTTCCAAACATAGTACCAAACAATACATATTCAATCGTTATACCATGCACCAGGGCGCACATAACATTGTGCGCCCTGCGCCTCCCAAAACGACGTCGTTTTGTTAAGTTGTTAAAAAAAAATTTCCTGTTTCGAATACACATAAACTCATAACAGAATACACATAATATAACATAATACATAATACACGTAAACTCATAACACAATACCCATAAACTTTTAACTGAATACCATGGTTGCAGTAGGCACTAGGCGCTAGTCGGGCGGCCGGGCAGCGCCTAGCGCCTAGGCGGTCTAGGCGGTCTAGACGGCGCCTAGGCGGAATCTAGGCGGCACTAGGCGGGCACCAAAAAAAATTAAAAAAAATAGTGATAGACTTAGTTTGACCATTTTAATGAGCTTGTTTTCAATATTCAATCAAATAACACATCTAAATAAATGAAATAATGATAATTTATAAGTCATAACGTTATAATAATATTAAAATCAATAATTAATAAAAGACGACATCGGTCAAAATCGAACAAAATCGATCAAAATCGGACAAAATCGGTCAAAATTGGACGAAATCGGTCGACTAGGCCGAGTTGGCCGAGTTTGGGCCGCCTTTAGGCCAAACGGCAAGGCTCGGTGCCGCCTAGCGCCTAGGCAGCCGGGTTTTGCAACCCTGCTGAATACACATAATGGGTTTGGTTAACATAATACACATAAACTCTTAACTGAATACACATAAACTCATAACACAATACACGTAAAATTTTAACTGAATAGACATAATGAGGTTTGGTCTGTTCGGATGGACGGAGTGATGTCAGTATGATGTCAGCATGAAGCGCACGCGTTTTGTGCCTGGGCGCACATTGCTATGTGCGCCGTGGTGCACGATATAAATTGCCATACATATTCACATAACCCATATCCAAAATCTAAAATATTATATAACAAAATAGCGATTCAAAGTTCAAACAT